CATGTATTTGTGACTATAGTCGCATCGTAAATTGTGTGTGTGTGTGTGTGTGTGTGTGCGTGCGCGCACGCGCGCGCGCATGTGTGTGTAGGACAGAGGCTGACATGCAGTGTTTTCTTCAGCTGCTCTTCATCTTATTTTTTGAGATGGGATCTCTCACTGAACCTGGTGCTTACCAATTCTGCTAGTTTAGCTGGTTAGCAAGCTCTAGGGAATCTACCAGTCTCCACTTTCTAGAACTGGGATAACAAATGCAGTGTAGTGTCTCAGTATCTGGCTTTTGTGTGGGTACTGGGAATCCACAGTCAAATCCTCACACTTGACTTTGTGATCCCAGCTATTCAGAAGGCTGAGGAAGGAGGATCAAAAGGGCAAATTAGCAAGATAAAACAAACAAGCAAAGGGCTGGAGATGACTCAGTGGTTAAGTGTCATTCATATCATCCATTCTAAAAGGTGAAACATAATCAGGTCACCCATGCTGAGGAAAGTTAGGCTCCTTTAAGAGTTAAAGGAAACAAAATCATGGTTTACCATCTGTCATGATTTGGATCTAAAATATCCCCAGAGGCTCCTGTATCTGAATCCTTGGCCAGTTGGTAGCACTGTTTTGGGAGGTTGTGAGCCCTTTAGAAGGGGGACCTTGCATGAGGAAAGCAGTTTTTGGGGTGTGTGTGTGTGTGTGTGTGTGTGTGTGTGTGTGTGTGTTATGGGAGGGGGTGGGGCATGGGTAGGTTTGAAGTTTATAGCTTGATTTGTTCCTTTGTTTCCTAGTCCACTGCGATATGAGCAGGCAGTCTCATGCTCCCATTGCTACACATTAGAGTCTGTTCCCCTGCTTCCCTGGCTCTTCCTAGCCCCATGATGGACTCACTTATTTCCCACTGTGCTTCTTGTTGTATATTTGGTCATAGCAATGAGAAAAGCAATACATCATCTGTACTAGATTGATTCTCTCACAGAGTTAACCGTAGTCTGTCCCAATCACATCAATGAGAAATCATCACTGTTTGCCCCAAAGGAGCTGTACTAATTGACAGAGCTAGTCCTCACTCTTCCCAGAATTGATCTGGGAGGCTCATATATTTTTTCCACTTAAAAAAATAATTTTCCTGTACCTTAGTTACAGATCATTAGGCTTGTCTAAGCCAGGTGACTTGTAAATAATAAATTACATTATCTGTAAGAACATATTACTGCTGTTTGGCTGGCCAGTGGTCTGGTGTATACTTTTCAGTGTACTCACAGACCAGGACATCTGGAGTAATTTAATGAATGCATGAATGCAAGCCAAGGTAAAGAAAAGTGAATTTGAAAGTCAGGCTTGGTGGTACCATAGGCTGTGATTCTAGTTACTCAGGAGGCTTGAGGCAGAAGAATCAAAATTCCATGGCTTCTCTAGGTAATTTAGAAAGATTAAAAATATAATAAGGAAGTTGGAGAGGTGGCTCCATGGTTAAGAGCACTTGTTCTTGCAGAAGAACCCAGTTCTGTTCCAAGCATCCATACCTGGCAGTTCCCAAATTCCTGTGACTCCAGTTCCAGGGATCTGATACCTACAGGCACTTCATGCACAATTAGCACAAAAGCAGGCACATATATGTGCATGCAAATACAAATACTTTTTAATTAAAATATAAAGAGACCTGGGGTATGGCTCAGCAGTAGAGTACTTGATTAGCATGTGTGAGGCCCTAGGTTCAATCTCTACCACCACAGGGGAAAAATGAATTTGTATGACACAGTAATAGTATGGCTTCCTGAAGGAAACTGCTATTGCTTCTGTCTATCCAGTCTCTTTCCCTCTATTAATGATGGAAGGGAGTGGGTCTTGCTATGCATCTGTGTACCTAGCCTCTTTCCCATTCTCTGTAGTCCTGAGGGATTGTCAATATTTTGGTGTTCTCTATTTCTCTTTCTTCTCATCTCTTTTCTACCCCTTCCCTTCTGTTAGGATTTCTACTGTTGAAATGAAACACCACGACCAAAGAGCAAGTTGTGAAGGAAAGGGCTTATTTGGCTTACACTTTCCGATTGGGGGAAGTCAGGACAGGAACTCAAACAGGACAGGAACTGATGCAGAGGGCATGGAGGAGAGCTGTCTTGTGGCTTGGTTGCCCTGGCTTGATCAATCTCTTTCTCATAGAATCCAGAACCACAAGCACACCTACAATGGGCTGGGCCCTCCACCATTGATTACTAATTGAGAAAATCCCTTATAGCTGGATCCCATGGAGACATCTCAACTGAGGCTCCTTCCTATCTGATGACTCTAGCTTGTGTCAAGTAGACATACAAAACCAGCTAAACTCAAGGAATTTGAATGGGCAGATAAATGATGAAAAGTAACTGGAGACAGTGAGTCAGTACAATGGCAATGTAGAAAAAGACTAGCCAAATAGTCCCTACTCCTCTTGGTCCCTGAATTACATCCTGATGCATTCAACTTTCCAGAGTTGTAAGTGCTGAAGCCTTGTTCAGCCCCACCAGTTGTCACTTTTCCCAATTACTATTATTTTTGTTGTTGTTGTTACATTTAGTAGATCTGATTTTTTTCCTATAGCTTGCCATTAAAGGGATGTGTTTCAGCTTCTAACCCCATCATTAGGATGGGAAGTTTGAAACTGAGGATCATAGGTTAAGAAGTATGGTTGACATCACAGAAGCAATGCATGCCCTGATGCTGGTTGCAATGTAGTTGATTTTAAGGAAAGCAAAAGTAAACAGCAAGGATAAAACTATGGAAGGCAGTTTGTTCATCAATTCACATCTCCTCACACTGCTCATTACCATAAACACTAAAACAGATCACAGCACAGGTAAGTGTGTTCTCATGAACAATGCCTATTTCTGATTTTACTCCCCAAGAAGGGAATAATGTTTTCAAACATTGTGAGTCAAGTTTCTGAGCTGAAAAACAAACACAGTGTGCCATATGACTCCATTATAATTTTTGCAAATTTTTTCCCTTCTATCAGTTGACCAGTCGAGTTTTATTTCAGTGACAGACCCTAAAGTGCTCTGAATGAAAGGCATAGGTTCTGCCCTTGATATCAAATATTTACAACTTGCGATTTTAAAATAGGACAATTTATCCTGGGTGGTGATAGTGGTGCACCCCTTTAATCCCAGCAGTTGGGAGGCCAAGGCAGGTGGATCTCTGAGTTCGAGGCCAACCTGGTCTACAGATCGAGTTCCAGGACAGTTGGGACTCCACAGAGAAACCATGTCTCAGAAAACCAAAATAAATATAAAGAAATAAAATAGCACAGTTTATAACTTAAAAAAACACTATGGCCATGTTCCATGATGTATATGTTATCAGGACCAAATGAAGCCAAAGGGGCTCAAAGAAAGTCTCTGCATATCCAAAGCACAAAGAAATGAGAGTAAAAAGACAGCTTTGAGAAGCAAGTTTGAAGTTGATTGTGTGATTGTGCAGGTAAAGAAGTTCTGGTCCAGAGGAAGCAAAAGAAATGTGGAGAAGAAAAGGACTAAGGGAGCTGGCTTCATGAGAAAGAGTGGAGTTCCAAGACTTTGTGTTTGGGTTTATTGCTTGCTGTCCCTCTCTTGAAATTCCTCACATTTTTTTGAAAAGAGTCCTTGAACTTTCATGTCTAGCTGACCCTAAAGATCATGCAGTAGGTCCAGAGGAATCGAGTATGCAAATGTTCTCTGAAAGATATATAAAGCACTGCTTGCTTGATTAGTGGGAGGCCTCAGATGTCCCTGCCCTAATTCTGGAGCCTGTAGATGTGAGGTGGCAAAAAAGAGTCTTTGATGAAGGGATTAAGGATTCTGAGATAAAGAGATTTCCTGGGTTATCTGGGTGAGCACCATGCAGGTGAACTAGAGAGATATGGTCAGAAAGCACAGGGCAACAGAAGCAGGTTATGCCAGTGTGTCATGTGAGTCTAGGAATGCTAGTGTTTCTACATCTGGAACGAGCAAGGAAACCTTGTTGTCTAGAATACTCCAAATGGATACAGTACTGTGGATTCATTTTGGGTTTCTGGATTCCAGAATGTAAGATAATACATTGAGTTGGTTTTCAACCACTAATTTGTGGTCACTTGTTACAACAACAGTAACACTACACACTACCTAAGGTGTTTCCTATAACTCAGGGATATTGATAAAGCTAGCGGTTACCATTTGTTGAACACTTCCTATGTACATAATCCTAGGACAATATTTGAGATGTAATTAAGACCACGAAACTGACTTTGTGGTACTCCTTGGCTCCCAACTGCCAGGACACCTTTCTATCCGAGCAGCAAAGCTTATAACTAGAATGTGTTAAAATGAGGATAGCCCATGTCACTTCACGTTTGGGATTATCTTCATGCTTTTAAATGCATTATAGATGTCTCTGGTGTTGATAGAGGAGTAGAGGACACATCAAGCAATGGCATTAACTTCTGGGGCGAGTGACCTGAAGGAGGTGCTGAAGACACCTCGATAAGATGCCAGTGGTTTTAGGTAACTGCAGAAATGAGAAAAGAAGCAAAGAAAACTCTTGGGACAGCAGGTTAAAGATCTTGCCTGTTGAGGATGTCTTGGCTCCAAAAGGACAAGCGGTGACAAGGAGCAACCGGCACAATGCCGGAAGCCCTGCGGGCCCCCCAGCCTGGTTTCCCAGAGCGACGAAATAGAGGCTTCGCTGCCACCCGCTAACCCCTAAAACAGTACCCGCTCTCCCGCCCGCTCTTGGGTGTTTTGGAGCCCTCGTGGTCCCACCTCATTGGCCGCCGCGGAGCCCCGCCTCAGGAAGGCAGAACGACCTCCGAGCCTGTAGTTCTCCATTTTCAAGGCCTTCCCGTTGTGGGGGGGCCTCAAGGGGATGTCGGGACTACAACTCCCAGAAGGCTTTGCACAGAGGGCGTGACTACAACTGAGGACGCCGGGGGCGGGGCCTCATGGGATGAAGCGGGGGCGCGCAGCGCTGGTACATCAATCGCTGCTGCTGGGAATAGTAGAGTGTTTCCAACCTGAGGCCGGCTCGCAGAGCTCGGGTCTTGGAGGCTCCCGGCTCCCGGACACTGACTCCGGCCGTCGTCGTCGCGGCGGCCCGCCGTTCCCGAGCTCCGAGCGGCCGAGGTCACCATGAGTCCGGGGTTCCGCCGGGCCGTCGCCGGGCAGGGGGCGGCGGCCGCCGTGCAATTGCTGATCGCCCTGAGCTTCCTCCCAAGTCTCGTCAAGACCCAGGTAAGCCCTAGGGGCGGGAGGCAGGGGACAGGCCGCGCCGGCGTCGCCTAGAGGCCAAGGTGCAGGTGCGAGTGGCCGGCGAGCGACTGAGAGAACCGCTCCGGCTAGTGCGGGAAACGTCTGTAAAGCGCGGCTGGCGCGAGGACGCGACACGCGTGGCGGAGGCAGAGGCAGACGGAAGAGGAAGATGGTGAGGGCTAGTAAGCGCTAGCTAGCGGCTTTATCATTGTGATGGTGACAGGGAGAAAAACATCCGTGTCTTGAGCAAGAGGGGCACCTTTCCCTCTGGAGATGACAGGGAGGCCCCCCACCCTCTTCCTGAGAGGACTAGAGGGGGACAGGACTTAACTTCCTTGAACTTGTATGCTAGTGATTTTCAGGCTTTACCTGCTTTATTATTACCCACCTGTCCTACGTATGCAAAGTGGAATCGCCAGGTGAGCCCACTTAACGACATTGGAAGGTCTGGGCCCCGACTGTGGGCCTCTGAGTCTTATTACGGTGAGGCTTGCTGGCTGGAGAGTCCCTTGGACTTTGGGGTTGCTTCATTGAGCCATTCTCTGTATGCTAGAAAGCCAAGGGTTAGCTGATCTCAGCCTGTTATCTTGAAGGGAGGTAGGTTTGGTGCTTTTTTAGTGAGTGAGATTTGAATAGGTTGCCAGATGCTGCTGCATCTTGCCTGCACCTGCTGCAAAGTGTTATCTGAAAGAGTCAAAAATGAAGCAAAACAAGTGTCTCAGATGGCCTGATAATGAGGGGCATGCAGTTTGAAGCAATTAACGCTCATTGCTGAGAGAGAGAAAAAAAAAATGATGGCAACTATGAGGGTAACTGTGTAAACATGTTTTTCTGACTTTGTTGTTGGTGTTACAGTGCTCAGCATTAATTCCTAGAGTGTTTGGGTATTCTGTTCGTTTCCATGTGAGTGTTCTTTAAATGAATAATTTGATAAAAAAAAAAGCAGCAGCTGGAAATAGTAATACACACCTGTAGTGCAGCACTCAGGAAGTAAAAAGCTGGAGGATTGCCACAGGATGGACACTAGCCTGATCTACATTTCAAGTTCCAGGCTAGCCAGGACTGCATAGAAAGACCTTCTCAAAAAAAAAAAAAAAAAAAAAAAAAAAAAAAAAAAAGTGAGCCAACCAGAGAAAAAGAAGAAAGAGAAAGGAAAAGAAACTGTTAAACTTAGAGACTCTCTGACCCTGTTTGATATAGTCCAAGTCCATCTGGAACTGAGCAAAGAGTCAGCATTTTAAACAAGCCTCGCAAATATCTGTAATGCAGTTTTTCCGCACTACATCTTAGCCTGGCTTGGAAATGCTATGATAAAATTACTAGACTTAGCAAAACTAAACTTCCCAGGCTGTCAATAGCAAAATTATTCTCTAGGTACTAGTTTGTTTGGCTTGAGTGAAACTTTCATTTAGATGTTTTTATGAAGTCTGGTTTCTAATTTTCTAGTATATTAATTGTATACTTCTAGAAGCTTCCGTTAAGGTTTTTCCAGCTACCAGTAATCATACTTATTAGTGGTTTGTAATGTACCTATAATTCTATTTCCTTATATCCAAATGAATATATATAGTTCAACATTTAAATATTTATGCATTTCAAAGTATCACTGTGCTAAACATTCTACAAAAGTGTCTCTATTATGTTTCCAATGGTACTTTATAATATAGTTTTTGATAACATTTTTAGATAGCACCTTAACCTATAAAATGCTTAATTATGTATTACATTTTATGTGGTACATATCTCAAATATAAGGCTGTGGTGGTAAGTGACGTTCAGAGAGCTTAATTGACTTGTTAAGTGACATAAACCAGAGCCCTAGTGTAACTCCTTCTGCTCTATACAGTATTAACAAATTGGCATACTTGCTTCAGAGTATAGAGAAGCAGAGACCTGAAAATCAGAAAGAGGAACTAAGACAGTTTTTTTTCCCTTTCTCATGCATCCTAAACTTGATAGCAAAAAATAGTAAAGCTAAAAGGAAGAAATTAGAATTTTTGAAAAACACCTCTGTTCATAAGAAATCATAGTTATTTAAGGAAATAGGTACTTTGCCTTCTATATTGAAAGCAGGAAAATATTTTTGACCATGTGAAAGGATGTACATTTGTATATCTCCTGCCCCATTTTCTTATAAATGAAATGCAAATATGGTTCATGGCAGGTAACATACAATTTTCCTGTAAAAGGATATTTCAGTCAGATATATTTGAAATCCTTTAAAATGCCCACCTGCGGTGGCATGAAATCAAGAAACACATAGCTCCCCACGAAATGGAAGTCAGAAATGTGGGACTCATAGTGTCTAACTATTCCTTTACCCTGAGGGTTTCTTTTAAATGCTGAAGATCAAGCTCACAGCTTCATGGGGGTGGAACTGGCAAGAAATAATACCAGTGCCCTCCCTAAGCTGGGAGAATGATAAGACCCCACCACAAAGCCTAGGCCCCAAAGAGCTATGTCCTTAGCATAAGTGTGAGTGAGAAATGAGTCCCATTTTGAATAAGGGGAAAGTAAAAGAACTTGCTATAAGAATAGGATGAAAACTGAGTTGAGAATCTGTGACTGTAAGCAGCCCTCACATGCCTTTTCAAGTTTGTACCACTTGGGCTAGGATACACCAGTTAGAAGTTGAATTCACAGCCAGCCCAGGTTCATGTCCCTCAGGTTACCAGAGAAAAGCAAGTATCTATTCCTCTGAGAGAAGCATATTTTCAGCTTAAGGACTTAAGATTTTTTTCTGAGATAATGTTCAGTGGAATAAACAGTGAACAGTGTGAAAAAAAATATCACAAAACCACAAGGCAAGAGGGCACAGTGAATCAGATACAGATAGCCCCTGCTTTGTGATGTTTGCATTTACAATGGGGTTTTTTTTTTTTTTTTTAGCTTTACAAATATTAGAAAGCTTGGTAGAAACTACTTCATATTTTGATTTTTGCTTTCTCTGACTAGTTATGTACTTTCAATGCCGGGCAGGGGCAGTACGCCACAATTCTCCATCAGCTATGCCAACAGAAGGTAAACAATTTGCACTCCCCAAGTTGTGTCCTGTGTTTCTGAGCTATGATGTATGGTAGGTTGTTTTTCTTGACTGCATTTCCATTTGAATTTTTGTTTTAGTGGACTTACTGGGGGAGATTACTCATAGGCAGTTGAGGAACATCTATAGTGGAAACACAATGGACAGTAAATTACTTTAGGTTCTGAAATTTTTAGGTAAGTAATTTAATATCACTTTAATGTATTTAAATAAACACATAGAAGTATGAAAAAACAGACATAAAAGAATGACCAAAAGATTAAAACTAATGAAATTGAAGTTTTCAAATAAAATTTAAGCCAAGTGTGGTGGTATGCACCTAAAAGCCCTCTCAAGAGGGAGGAGACAGGATAAGTTCAGGATTAATCTTAGTCAAGTAGCTGGTTCCTTTTTAGCATGAGCTACTTGAGACTCTGTTTCAAAAAGAAAAGAAATAAAATTTGAAACTCAGAGGATGAATTAAATAGCTTATTACACCCAGCTGAAGAATTTTAATTTACAGATTTTTCAACTTTAATCCTCTGCTCTTCTGCCCTGCCAACGTCATGCCTAATAGAAGAGAACTGCCACAAAGTAATCCACTTACTGTGGTGAGTGTGCTGCTTACAACCATGGATGAGTCATTTGTGCTCTTATAGTGTATACTAGGGGCCATTTCTTCTTTCCCACTCAAGGGTATGGTTCCCTCCATGTGGTCTCTCCCCAGCCCCCAGGTCTTTAAATGTTTTTGTTTTCCTCTAATGGGTTGTTACTGTCATCTTATGATATTGGTTCCTGGTATTTAACTCTGGTCCTCATCAAGCATGTTACTGGTTGAGCTACCCCTTTCTTCTTTTTAAATTCTACATCTAGAAAAATTCCTGAGTTGTTTTTATTTCTCCTGTTCTATTTTGCCTATTTTATTCTTCCTGTTCTATTTAGCCTATTCATTAGGGTCAGACTACTTCAACTACTGCCCTGAGACTGACCTCTTCTCAAGTTTACTAATGTCTTTGTTGCTAAGACTATAGCAAATCTTAAAACCTCAGGTTTTACCTATTAGTAGACTTTTTTCCCCAACTCCACCATTTCTCTTTTAAGTACTTCTTTTTGTATCCAGGATGCTAACTTTCCAGGTTGACTTCCTCTGTAATGGGCCAGTTCATCTTAGAACACTTTGCTTGTTTCTCCTCTGCCCTTGATGAGTAGTCACTTGAGAATTAGGGTCTTTTGTTCAACCTATCTGTATGCTTGGTTTTAAAAACCTGTCTATACCTGACTCTCAGGTTTATGTTTGAAGTCAAGAAATCTCAGTTCCAGATCACCATATCCAACTTTTTATTTTCCAGCATTTACATTTGAATGATGAATGACAAGTATCTCAAACTTAAGAATCAGGAAGAAATGAATGAATGTAGTACTTCATTAGGACAAAAATCCACTATTCCCTCATACCTCTTTGTGGTATTTTTTTGATTGGTAATAATTAAACCATAGATTAATTTTAAGTATTCAGGAGAGCATGTCTCAATATTAACTCCTGATCATTGGTGGTAAGATACTGACATGATATAAAAACTTTTCAAGTCAGCCTGCTATTCATCTATAAAGCTGCAGTTTTACTCCCAAGATTATCACCTTAAGAAACTCTTGATCACATATCCCAAGATATATGTACAAAGATGTTTGTGTACCTTTGTTCTTTAGCCAAATTTATAATCAACATGGGATACATTTGTTTTCTGTTTGCTGCTATACAAATCTCCAGAATTTAGTCACCAAAAACTATAATTTTTAATCTTATAATTTTGAGGGCCGGAAATCGGAAAATGGATTTTACAGTGATAAAATTATGACATCCACAAGGTGGGAGTCCTGGAGAATGTAGGTCAGAACTATTGGTGCTTCTGTCAAGCTTCTAAAGGCACCTTTTGTTTGGCTTGCAGCTTCTTTATCTTCTGAATCAGTACTGTATCCTCTTCTAATTTCTCCTGCCTCCTCCTGATAAGGAATTCTGTCAACTCTATTGCTCTCTCTTAAGTAATCCAGAATAGTCTTCATGCCTTAAGATTCTTAATCACATCTTTAACTTTTTCTTTTTTAAATTTTTAGTGTGTGTGAGAGAGAAAGAGTGAGACAGGGAGAGAGAAATCTCATGTGCATTTGCTTGCTTGCCACTGCATGCATGTAGAGATCAGAGGATGGAGTTGGTTCTTTCTTTCCAACTTTACATGGATTCCAGGGATCAAACTCAAGTAGCCAGGCTTGCCCAGCAAGCATCATTAACCCACTGAATTGTCTTACCTGTTCCTGGTCACATCTTTAAAGATTCTTGCTCTGTAAAATAATATCCTCTTAAGGTTAAGTTTGTGAGCTAGGCAGTGGTGGCATATGCCTTTAATCCCAGCACTTGGAAGGCAGGGGAATGGCAGGGGAATTTCTGAGTTTAAAGCCAGCCTAATTTACAGAGCAAGTTCCAGGACAGCAAGGGGTACACAAAGAAACCTTGTCTCAAACAAAACAATAAAAACAACAGAAATGTTAGATTTGTCAAGGTTAGTATCTTAGGAATTAGGACTTGCACACCCTGAACTGTCTTCCTTCTTCATGGAACGAAATAGAATGGATAAGCTGTGATTTTTTCATATTGTGCAGCATTTACAATAGGGAAAGTGAATGTGCTAACTGTAAGTAAAATTCATTCTCATAAATAATGCCAAAGTAAAATGTTAGTGAAAGCATTGAAGAGTTAAAGCAAATGATAATGATATGAAAACAGGGGAATTGTATGATGTTAGGGATGCATTACAAAGGAAATTGATCACAACAGTAAGCTTTATTTTTTAACCTCTGGGTAGATGTAACTGAGAAGAAACTACAAAGATTCTGGCAATATTCACATCTACATTTCAAATTTTGGTGGCACACAGGTTTTATCTGAGTAGTCTTTAAAAGTTACAGATATGTATTAGCAACAATTATCTTTCTTACAATGAAAATGGGTACACACACACACACAAGTATATTCATGTAGAGGCTAGAAGTTGACATCAGGTGCCATCAGTCTCTCGACACTTTTTTTGTGGGGGGGCAGAGTCTTGATGAAGCTGGAGCTCATCAATTTAATTAGACTGGCTGACAAGCAAGCCCCAGAGATCCTCATTCTCCACTTCCCTAGTGCTTTTTATGTGAATGTTGGGGATCTGAATTTAGGCCTTTATGTTTGTGTGGCAGGCATTTTGCTGACTGAGCCATCTTGACAGCCCCTGAAATTATTTAAAAAAGAAAATATGATAGTTTATAAACCAGAAGTTTTTAGTTTTAAAAAACATTACCAAAAAAGAACAGTTACAAGATAATTTTTTGTTCATTTTCTTTTGGTGGGGACTTTTTTTGCTTCTTTGCATAACCCTGGCTGTCCTGGAACTTGCTCTGTAGACCAGGCTGGCCTCACACACAGAGATCTGCCTGCCTCTGCTTCCTAAGTGCTAGGATTAGCGGCATGTGCCACCGTGGTAGTTTGAATAGGTATGACCCCCATAGACATGTTTGAATGCTTGACCCATAGGGAGTGGCACTGTTAGTAGGTGTGGCCTTATAGGAGGAAGTGTGTCACTGTGGAGGCGAGCTTTGAGGTCTCATATATGCTCAAGCCAGTGTGACAGTTGCTCCTTCTGCTGCTGTGGATCAAGATGTAGAAATCTCAGCTCCTTCTTCAGTACTATGTCTGCCTGCCATGATGATAATGGACTAAACCTCTGAAACTTCAAGCCTGCCTCAATTAAATGTTTTCCTTTATAAACATTGCCATGATCATGGTATAATCTTCACAGCAATAAAATCTTTACTAAGACCATACCTGGCTTATTAAAAACAGATATGTGTGCATATGTATTATATATTCATATATGTGTATGTATATGTGTATACATATACATATGTGTATACATGTGTATACACGTATACAAATATGTGTACAAATATGTATATATGTACTTATATATATAACTGTCTCTTGAGAACTTAGAAACTCAATGAAATTTGGTAGTTAGAGGATTCTAGGAAGTAATGTGAATGCAGAATTCCAGAGCAGAAATGCTGAACAAACAGCCCTTGTTCTTTACGTAAAGGCAACATTGCTGCTTCCATGTGGGAGAGAGTTGAAAGAGACATTTCCACTCTGGGATAGAAAAATAATTGGCTAGGACATCTACTTCTGTTCACTGCTTTTGTGTCTTTTTCCATCCAAGGGCTTCATGAATAGAACCTTTAGTAGGCAGAGTCCATTCTTGTTTTTAGTTAAAACCTTGAATTGAAATAGTTGCAAGTTCATGTGTAATTGTAGGAAATAATACAGAGAAGTGCTATGTTCCCTTTACCAAATTATCACAATGGAAACATCTTGTAAAGATAGAATACAGAGTTATAAACAGGGTGTTGCCATTGATAGAATGGTTTAGTATCTTTCCAACTCTGTACATTATGTCTATGTATTCACATTTTTATTACATTGCAGCTTCATGCCTTCACCACCACAGTGAAAATATGGATCAGGTCAATCACTTCAGTTATCTACCCTGTTCCTATCCTCCTCCCCTCTCCATTATCACCATTCGCACGCATGTGTGTGAATGTATCAAAATGTGTGGGTGTAGATGCGACTTCAAGCATCTATCCTGTTCTATCATCATCAACATTGTGTGTGTGTACACGTGTGCCTGCACAAACCACATGTTGTTATCAGATGACAGCTTTTGAGAATTGGTTCTTTCTTTCCACTATGGGATCCAGGGATTGGACTCAGGTCATCAGGCTTGGGAGACACGATACCTGCTGAGCCATTTCACTGTCTGTATTGCCTTTATATTACCACACTGTCTTGTTCCTACTCTAGCTCTTATCCCCTACCCAGTCTCTAAGCCCTGGAGACTAGCACACTTTCCATTATTTCTAAAGCTTTTCAGGATAATCTGTACATGGAACCATAGCATGTAACTTTGGGGATGCTATGTTTTACTCAGGAGACCTCTGCTGGGATTAATTCAAATTGTGCATATTTATTAAGAGTCATTTTTCATAAAGCTGAGGAATGTCTTATGGAATTTTTTGCACTCAGAATTCTTTCTTATATACCTGTTTCTCTTCTTGGATTCATGGATAATTTGAGTATCAAGGAAGAACAGACTTTAAGCCTGGTAGATTCGGTAGTTAAGTTCCATGGGTATGTAAAACAGTCATTTTAAGCTTGTTAAACCATAATTTCCTTACAATGAGGGTCATAATACCATATTTGCAGGATAGTTTTAGGGAGTAAGTGAGATGACATACTAAAGTCTTTAACACCATACCTGGCACATAAATGGCAGCCTAAAAGAAAGATGCAGGTGGCCTCAGCAGTGGCATTACAGGCCAGGCGGTGGCTTCTAGGCTAGTCTGGAATCCAGTGGCTACTTTCATTTTTATATGCAGAGGAAAGGCATGTTTTGTTAATTTTGAGTCCTAAAAGGAGGTTTGGTATTTCAAATAGATATATGTAACTTTCTTGGCTTTGGTTATTGTTTTGTTTTTTATATTAAACTGCCATAGTTGAAAAGCAATGGCTTTAATGGTAAGAATTCTAAAAGTACTTTTTCAGTGAGTTGTCTTGTGTATGTTTTGGGGCATGAGTACACATGTGGCAAGGCATGCATACAAAAGTCAGAGGACAGGTTTCAAAAGTCGTTCCCGCTTCTGCCATATGGAAGGAGATCGAATTCAGGTCGTCAGACTGGGCAACAAGCACTTTTACCCATGAGGCCATTTCATTGGCCCTAATGTTATGAATTTTAATCAGTAAAACTGACCAACTTGAATAAATAAATTATATTTTAAAATAATAGATTTTTTTAAAGGTATAAACATTAGTGATTTGGATATCTTGTGTCTTATACTTATTTACATTCTAGGTGACTGGAGTTCTGGATGATTGCTTGTGTGACATTGACAGCATTGATAACTTCAACAACTACAAAATCTTCCCCAAATTAAAAAAGTTACAAGAACGAGGCTATTTTCGTTATTACAAGGTAAGGTGGAAAATTTTAATTCTATTAATCCAAAGATTTCTATATAGTTGTCTGCAAATGTGACTTGTTTTTATTATGTTTTCAAAGTAAATCTTTTAAAAATGAAAAGTTGGTCTATTACATACCAAAAATCTGCACTCCCTTCCTATGTTTGGGGAATCACTCTTTTGTTTGTTTTTGTTTTTCAAGACAGGGTTTCTCTGTGTAGCTTTGGAGCCTGTCCTGGAACTCTCTCTGTAGATCAGGCTGGCCTCAAACTCGCAGAGATTCACCTGCCTCTGCCTCCCCAGTGCTGGGATTAAAGGTATGCACCACCACTGCCCAGCTGGGAATCACTCTTCTTTCTGTTTTGGTTTTGAGAGGAAGACTCCTCCTTTACAGGAGTTTCAAATGCCCACATGGACTTGATCAATCTCTGTGTGTAGGTTCTGTGATCTGGACTGAGCTGTCCAGGCTTCAGTTGGGCATCGTGTTTGTGTAATGGGTGTTTCCGAAGCAGTACAGAGTAACAGATTTTCACTGACATGCTTTGTGAGGGCTGCAAACCCAGTAATGCTACAAGTAGAGCATGCCCTCTTAGTAATCCCGTAGCATCTGTTTTTAACCTACCACGAGTCTGTAGACCTTCTGGAAATACCAGAACAAGCAGTAGCAGTCCTTTAAGTATGTCATTAATCAGAACTCAAACAATTGTAATTTTACATTTTAAGAAGAAAATATACGGGGTGTAGTTTAGTGAATTAAAAAAAATTATTAGGTATATTCATTGTCCAAAACAGTAGGGTTCATGATGAACTTTTGGTTCAAGTACATCATGTACTTGGACCATGTTTACTCCCCGTTCCTCTGGTCCCTCTCCTCTGTGTGTGTGTACACAGAATCTATTTTACAGCTGTATTTTAAAGCTATGTTTGAATTGACTTTGGTTTTGTTCTTGCTCTCAGGATTTGGTTGGTATATAATTTGATTTTCATTTTAGTTTGTTCTAAAATTTAAATATGGTTTCCTTTTTTATCTTGATTCTGAATAAATTATCTTAACTCTTAAAATATTTTTAAGGGTGAAATTTTTAGTCTTTTGGCTGTTCAAGAAGATAAATTAGAAAATTACAGATTTGGGAACACATTCCTTTGCCCATAAATACCAAGAATATCCAGAAAGGAATGTTTCTCCTTTGTACAGCATCTGTTAGGAGTGCAGTTGGTGGATATATTTCAAGACAAATCTGTACTTAAGCTGTGGCTGATCTTAGGCGTTTTTTATACAAATAAGATAGGTGCTATTGACTCCCAATGAAATTGCTGACTGTATGTATAGCTGTTTCCTTCATAATATTAGAAAAATGACATGAAATTATTTTCATATTTCAAAAATGGATGAACATGCCACTTTCATATGATTCAGTTTAATACAGTAGAAACTGTGTGTGCTGTCAGAGACTACCTTTAATTGGGTGTCCTGGTACTAGTTCCACAAAATCTGTCCCTTCCCTCACTCATGCACATTTCCTTTTTGGGATTGCATCTCTATTTTTGTGTCCATACAAGGCTTGTCCCATTGAGGAATTGAATATTTGGATAAATGGATACCTCATTTACTCTTCATATAAAATTTTTGTTAATATCTACATTTTTAAATTGAAAAAATAATAGGCCTGAGTTTCCTAAATAGGGTACTTTTATTGATTAAAACACAGAAGTTTGAGGAGAGAAAATTTTGAATAGTTTACAAAACTGAACGACAAACTGAAGCAGTACACTTTAGAAAAGATTAAAGCAGAGCAGGCACTAGTGATTATTCTCTTTAGGTCATCCCCAAAACTTTGTGGTGGTTGAATCTAGGGTATCTGACATGTTAGGCATCTAGACAAGCACTGTTCCACAGAGCTGTATCATGAGCCCCTCACCAAACTTCCAGACCAAATTAGCTATTTTCCCACATTTTTTTTTGTTCTTTATATAAAAGTCAAATTTCTGGAGGAGAGTATGATAATTGGTTTAGGTAGTCGTGTGGTACTTTTACCAAAAGAAGGAAGTATACCTTGGGTGACCGTGCCATTCAGAGGAACATGAGGAATCATTGTTTATCAATGCAAAATTATAGGAAAGGAAAATGAAAGTTAAGTAGGCAAAAATAAGAAAATTGATTTCAAACACATACATGCATGCATACATACATACATACTTAGGATTCAGCAAACAAGGGGCTGGAGGTAGAAGTAGCTACTCACCTTTACAGCTAGGTCATTGGTCACATTGATGACTTTGTGACAGCCTCTAGTCTTAGGACTGTGAATACAGCAGTAAATAAGACAAAACTTTGTTCTACTTAAGAGAGACAAACAGTAAGTAAATAGACAGTGTCAGATGTAAGGTGAATGCTATAGAGAAAAAGGAGGAGACAGTGTAAATGGGGTGGGGACACAGGATATAGAGATAAGTAGTCTTGCTTTGATGAAATGATCAGGAAAGGATGGTATTTATGCTAACATGATATTGAACAAAGACCTTCCTAATGTGAAAGTGTAAGTGGTGGTGAGATCTGTGGAAACCTTCCAGGGAGATTAAGTGAATATAGGAAATTGAGTGACATAGGAATAGGCTTATTATATTTGAAGAATTAGAAAGAAGGCTTAGGCCACAGAAGCAGGTGAATGATGAGGAAAATTGGAAAGGTAGATAGGGGCCAGCATTAAAATATGAACATGGAGGTTGTGGGGCATGGAGGGAGAGAGGAAGAGGGAACTGGGATCGATATGTAAAATAAGAAAAAAATAATAATAAATAAAACATGAGCATGTACACATGGCACATACACAAAAACCATACAACAATATATTGGGGGTGGTTACATTCAATTACTACTTTAGAGGGTCTAGTCAAATCCTGCTGCTGTTGACAGACCTGAGTAAGGTGAAGTAACAAGCCCTCTGTAGGAGCAATAACAGATAAAGAGAATGGGCAGTATAGAAGCTTTGGGACTTAAGAACCTGGTGTGTCATGTGGTAGATGAGGTAAGAGGCAGGTGACAGTGGTTACAGAACAGTGCCTGTAGAGCTGTTGCAGGGTTGGATATGCTCCAAGGAAGTGAAAATGCACAGGAAAAGTTCTGAGCAGACACTGGTGGGTCTGCCTTGGTTTTGATGCAACTGTTGCTTTGTTCAATAGGTAGTGGCAGAATGTGGGAAACGATTGCAGTAGCTTAGGCAAGAGACAATGTCACTATGTTAGACATGGTGACAATAGTGGAGATGAGGAGGGAGAGGCTTCTTGACCCTGTGGTGTGTATACAGTTCAGATATTAAGTGGTGGGAGGTAGTATACACTAACAAGTAAGAGAGGAAACAGAAAACGTTGATTTTTTTTTTTTTTTAAGCTTGGGCAATACTGTTGGATTATCAGCTTCCTGTTGTATAAAGAATTTGACAATAGGTGTTTACCATATGACCTCTGCTCTTTTTGTCCATACTTTCACCACTAAAAGTGGTGGGACTGGTGGTTCTTCATTCTTAGCACCACAAAACTTTCCATTGCTGTAGCTAAATACATATGTCCCCTACCTTTCATCTTCCTAATAATGACCTCCAGAGAGGCTCCAGCCATCAGCATCACTAATTACAAAATTCTGGGTTCTGCTTTGGAACATGAAATAAATGTACAAGTAATTGATTTCTCTTTTCTGCAGGATATTGTAAGTCCAAGGGAGAAAAAGTTCTCTTTTGCCTTGAGTCTAACCTGGTATCTAACAGATAGCCAGTGCGTACTGACTAAAGGAGGGTGGTAGGTGTTTGGGGAATGTTAAAGTCATTCTTAAATGCTGCCCAGTGACAAATATGCTTCAGATGAGCAGGGAACTTAGATACTGTCCCTCTTTTCCAGTGTCAGAGAACTCATAGCCATTTAGAAGTTAACATGCTACCCAGGTGCCTGCAAAGCTGCAGTCACTTAATATCTGAACTGTACACACACCACAGGCCCAAGAAGCCTCTCCCTCCTCATCTCCACTACTGTCAACATGTCTAACATAGTGACATTTGCAAACATTCTACAATAATCATACCCAATTGCTAATGTTAATTTGTTCTTCCTTGGAAGGTTAATCTGAAGCGACCGTGTCCTTTCTGGGCAGAAGATGGCCACTGCTCAATAAAAGACTGTCACGTGGAGCCCTGTCCAGAGGTATAGTAAGTAAGAGTATAATAATGGAGGAGGGCTTCTTTTGGGGCTTTAAAAAAAGTCACAACCCCTATATCCTTATATTTGGAGTTATCCTCAGACTTCATAGGCTTTCAGCTCTTATGACTAGACTCCTTCAAAGATGAGTTGAGGAATTCTTCACTGGTTTGTTGACTGGGTGTGGACATAAGTATTGATTCTAAAATGGGAGGATGACCACAGGCTTATTCTAGGATTAGGCCTGCAGTGGGCTTCACTGATCTTGTTTCATAGGCAAAAAGGAAACTTCACATTTAAAATAGGGATTTCAGTGCATGAAGTATGTTTATTGCCATATAAATAAGGGAATGTTACATTTTAGAGTTGTGGAGGTTATGGAGGGTATGTCTGAGACAGACAGACAGACAGACAGACAGACACACACACACACACACACACACACACACACATACACACACACACAGAGGAATCTACACTCTCATACATACTATGAGAGGTACCACTGAGCTATACCCCAAGTTCTGATACTTCACTTTTCACATTTAACACAATTCTCCCTCAATAACAGCTTTAAGCTATATTTTAAATTTTTAATTCAGATCTGTTTGTGGGGCTTAAAAATCGTTTTAAGAAAAGAGCATCTGGACCAATTCATCATAAATGGAAGATTCTTTAAAAATGATCTTTCTTTCCAAACAAGGATAAGATATTCATGGGAAGTTCGAAATGATCTCAGACTTACAGGAAAGTTCTAAGAATTGTTCAAGGACACCATGGACCTGTTAACCCAGATCACCCGGATTCACATGCTCACCTGTTTGCTTTATTCCCTAAACCATCTGAGCATGCTGCAGGCTAGTCCTTTATATCTGAATACTGATGTGTTTCCTTAGAAACAAGACTTTTTTGTATATACTATAGAAAAATTAACAAAATCAGGATATTAATCTCAATACCATCCAGAGGCCTCATTTTGCTAGACATTAATCATGTTATTATCAGCTGACTATGTGCTGTCCTTTGTAGCTTGTCAATCCAGTCAGATTTAAATTTTGGATCTTGTTGTACTGTCTTTTCAGTTTCTTTTCCTGTATAATAAGAGCCAGTATATTTTTTTTCCCTTAGGGTGCTAGTGCCAAGATCAGAACCCAGGACCTGTACATGCCAAACAAGTACCTTGCCACAGAGCTACACACCCAGGCCTGCCCATTGTTAAATAGTTTTCTTGCTGTTGACTATTAGGCGTTCATTATTTAGCTCTATTTTTGTTTGAGATAGGGTCTCATTATGTAGCCCAGGTTACCCTGGAAGTTCCTGCCTTAGCCTGACCAATTTGACTTTAATACTGTAATACTGTGTGTACTCTCTCTCTCTTTCTCGGTGTGTGTGTGTGTGTGTGTGTGTGTGTGTGTGTGTGTGTGTGTGTTTGGAGGTAGGTTCTTGACTTATAGTCGAGGCTAGCCTTGAATCATGGCAGTTTTCCTTCCTCTGGGATCACAAGTATGAACCACAATGCTGGCTGGGTCATAATAGGTTTCTAAGCTGAGTGTTTAATTTGTAAGTTCAAATGATCCATTACTTTCCATCTGTAGTGGATTATAACCTCTTCTGTGTTACATTTCTTTTTTTATATAATTTTTTAATGTTTTACTTTATTTTTATTTATTTTTTGTTGAAAAGCAATTTTTGTCATACAATATATTCTGATTATAGTTTTCATTCCTCCAGTTCCCCCACCCACTCAAATCCACATCCTTTGAAGCCCTAGATAATTAGAATTAAAATGGAAGAGGAGGACCACACCATCTTTTGAGTGCCTGTGGGCAACAGGGATAGCACAATTGTGCTGGTTGTAATAATGTCATTTGGGGGTGATGCTCCTGATGAGAATAAAAAATAAAACCAGAAGAACCATGAATAAGATGCCGGGGAAGCATAATGGTGAATGCAGAATGTGGCACTGAGAAAAAGAGATCTTGGTAGAAAAGTCTAAGCAGAGGATCTAGACAAAATGGAGACAGCTTGGACTTAGAAAAAACATGCCTTTCAAAGGGTCAGGTATCTGAAAACACTGTCTCTACCTGTGTCTGTTAGCATGCATGCAGGATGAACATAATATTGTATTCTCTAGCAGCTTGATAAATACTATAGACCCCAAGTCCAGCAAATTTAATAAAACTCACATGTTGGGCTAAAATGTTCTAAATGTCCAATGCTAAATAGTTTAAAAATAATAAAGTAAAATAAAAATAACTTGTATTCACCAAGGAAAGAGTACAGGAGTATGAGCCTGGGAGTCTGACATCTGAGGAATGGTAGAACTCATAAATCTGTGGACACAGTTCTTTGAAAACACAAAGCAAACCAAAAATATGAACAAGCAAAGCCTTCACAGACCAGATGCTGATGCAAACAGTTGGAATATGAGAAAGTTTGTGACATTTACTCAAGACAAAGTTCTGGAGCCTGAGTGGAAGCCATGATGTCTGTGGTATCTATGTCTCAGGTTATTCCCATCCTCATCCTAACTATCATTTGTCACACAGAGAAATCCTCCCAGGAGAAAGCAATTCATGAAATGCAGCACTTACTCTGTTGGAAGGGGTCCCCTCTATCAGAAGAGAGTGGGGACAAGCCATTTTCCTAATAGCATCAATTGTAAGGTAGTAACTTAATGGTGAATAAAAAGAAATGACTGAACTTCTAGAAGTCCAAAGTTGAAGCTGCTGTAGAGGAAAACACAGGAGTAATGTACTAAATAAAAAACAACTAAACATTGACTTTTGTCATTTGGTAATAGCACTTAAGTTTCCTCTATGTGTTCTAAAGACTTCATATCTCTTTTTCCCAAAATAATATAGCATGTATAATAAGTAATTATACTATAAGCAATATAATTTTAGCATATATAAGTAAAAATTATTTTAACAATTGTTTCTGTCACTAATAGCACTTGAGATTCTTTCATATCTTTTATTAATTTGATATATCATTAACTACAGGATATACTATATGTATATATAATATAACATATGCATTGTAGTATACATATACCCTCTGTCTGTGTGGATCACAGTTTAGCTATTCATTCCTGCTAAAGGATATTTGGATTGCTATCAAGTTTTTTTAAATTTTACTTTATTATTATTTTTTTATTTTACATGTTGATCCCAGTTCTCTCTCCCTCCCTCCCTCTTACCCTCTCTGCCCCCTCACATGCACCCTGACCACCCTCCCCTCCCATCCCCCACCCCATTCCACATGTAGGGTGATGCCATCCAGGTGTGGTCATGTAATTCTGTCAAGTCATTTGTCTCTAGGTTAAGGCAGTATCCCTCCATGGGGAATGTGTTCACAAGGTCCTTTTGTGCACCAGGAATACATCCTGGTTCCACTGTCTGAGGTCCCTTAGACTTCTCAGACCTTCTAGCTGAAACTCATATTCAGGGGGTCTGAGTCAGTCCCATGATGGATTCCCAGCTATCAGTCTGGGGGACCCATTAGCTCCTCCTTATTCAGGTCAGCTGTCTCTATGTGTTTCTGCAACTTGGTCTTGTCCTCTCCCTCTGCATCTAGATTCTAGTTCAACTCAGTGTTTAGGTATGGGTGTTTGCTTCTATTTCTAGCAGGTACTAGATGAGGGCTCCATGATGGTGGATAAGTTAGTTGTTGGTCTCACTATCCATGAAGGGCATTTATGGTAGCCTTTCCATGGTTGCTCAAATTGTTAGTTGGAGTCAGTCTTGTAGGATAAATACAGTAAAATGCCAATCTTGCCAAAAGCAATCTACAGATTCAATGCAATCCCCATTAAAATCCCAGCACAATTCTTCACTGACCTTAAAAGGATAATAATCAACTTTATATGTGTTACATTTCTAATAAGAAATAAGCACATTGTTTATTGAAAAACTCACAACAGGGGCTGAAGAGATGGCCCAGAGATTTAAGAGCATTTGCCGCTCTTACCTAGGGACCTGGCTTACACAGGACCAGCACTCACATGGTAGCTCAGAGCCATCCATAACCACAGTTCCAGGGGATCCAATGCCTGCTGTCTCTGGCTGCCACAGACAGTAGGCATACACGTGGTGTTCATGCTTGTGTGCTGCCAAAACACTCATACACATAAAGTATACATTTTTTAAAAAGAGAAGTTATAAGAAGCAAAGTACATATGCATTTTGAGATCAGTTTCCTTTTGTTCCCCTACTTTCCCCCCTTTCTGATTGTCTTCTAAGTAATGTTGCTCTTTTTCTTTTAAGAGTAAAATTCCAGTTGGAATTAAAGCTGGGCATTCAAATAAGGTAAGTTACTTTTCTTCTTGAATACTTCTGCATACTGGGGGCAGTAGAGAGCCATGAGTTTAGCTAAGAATGGAGGCACTTGACCTCAGAATTCAAATTAACTCTTGAGTCAAGTCGTGAGGCCATGCATGCCTAGCAGAATCTCTAGATAGAAAAACTCTATAAATCATAACTGCAGCAAAAATACTAGCAGCTATTTTTCAGTCTTCTGTTTCAGTTATTGTCTCTGTTAGATTCAGATTACATTATATAAAGAAAATTATTACCAAGTTATTTTGAGCCAAGTACTTGGAAATGGTATTAAGGTATTCTTTGTGCCTTTTTTTTTTTTTTTTTTTTTTTTTTTTTGTTGTTGTTGTTAAATGAGTAAGCTGTGTGCTTAGCTAGCAGTTCACTCATTTTCCACTACAGCATATACACTATGAAGATCTTCTACTCTTTCTCTCTGCCTTCTTGTGTACTGTCTCCTTGCTTATCCATCTCCTCTGTGCACTATTAATGTTCACCTACTCATATATACTTTGGTTTCAGCACTGTAATAAAGCAGTATCGAGATAGTCCAAGTCCCCTGAGCACCATTCTGTTCCCATTTTACTTCCTCCTCTCCAGAGCCATCTACTTGCTGATGTGACTTATGTGGGTCTACTCTTACTATATCTGTATATGTCTATAAGTAATGCACTTTTAGAGCATGTATCTGCAGTACAATATACAGATTATTTTATGGAAAGTTAAAATTTTTAGTAATATATGAATTTCTTCAAGTTGAAAATAATTTTCATTTTACATTTTGGCTCATTGTTTTTCCTTTTATGCCTCTTTCTCTGTTGACACATTGGCCCTTGCTTGTACTTTCATCCTCATAGTGATATGTGACTAACAGTAGCTACCCTACATGTGAGCATTTCACTGTTCTGGTTCTTGTGCAGGTATTTTTGCCTCTGACATCATTGTGTGCACATAGAAGCTCCCTAGTACTGTGTATAGAAGTGAGATGCTAGACAATAGCATCTGTGTATCTCAGCATCTTAAAATGATGCAAAACAGTAAGGTGGTAGTAATAAAAGTTTCCTTGGGATATGGTCTAATTTGAAGACTCTGTTCTAAGGACTTAGTGTCTGTAAAACTCTAGATACATATTTATCAGGTGAACATCATCACCAGCACACACATGCTAACCTGTTGCATTTTGAAAGCTTTTGCTCACTTAATGGGTAGAGATGTGTGCCTTGTTTTTAAGTCTTTTCTTACAATAAGGATTTTGGTGACAGGACATGTCATCATTGATAGATTGTCTGCTAAAGAAGAGCTAATCACTGTCACTTAACTTCGTATGAATCTTCTTGTAGTACTTGCAAGCGGCAAACAATACCAAAGAATTGGAAGACTGTGAGCAGGCTAACAAGCTGGGCGCCATCAATAGTACATTAAGGCAAGTTTAGTTGTATTTAGTTTGTTTATTATCAGTGACTCTTTTTTTTTGTCCAAGGTGGGTTTTCTCTGTGTAACTCCAGTTGTCTTGGAACTCTCGCAGTAGACCAGGCTGGCCTTGAAATCAAGAGATCTGCCTGCCTTTGCCTCTCACAGCCGGAGTTATGATTTTGATATTTGGGGGTTGGTATATGAAGGTTCTATAAATATAGATGCAACTTAAATTTAAAAAATTCAGAAAACAAGCTGAACTTCTACTTTAGAAAGAAATAACATTACTACAGTTTGTATGTCAGATTAAGTGGTGATGTTGAGTTTGTATGTAAAGTACTTGGTGTATATTTTGTAAATTAAATTCAAATTAATTACTTAGCTAGGGCTAAGAATCGTCCTAAAGTAATTAGGAAATATAAAAACTCATCAAAATTGATAGCTGTTTTTCATATGACTTTTTTTCATTCCTTCATTTAACTACTGCTAGAATTTATGGCATCGTCTTCTGAAGAAATAATCTCTGTTTTTGTTCATTATAATACAATGTTAAAATTTCAGCTCCAAATATAATTGCTTTTTTATTCTTCCTTCCCATAGTAACGAAAGCAAAGAAGCATTCATTGACTGGGCAAGATATGATGATTCACAGGATCACTTTTGTGAACTTGATGGTAATAAAATAAGTTGTCATCATCACTTTAACCTGAAGCCCTTTATAAGACATCTAAACTGTTGAAAATATGGCCTAAAATTAGTGTAGTGTTTAACTGTGGATTTCTCTGTGGAGACCTTACCATTGCTAAGTGGCATTAATTGGGAGAGTTATGTTTGAGGCCCTGTGCTAAGTGCTATAGTTGTTATTTCTTTCTGATCTTTACAGCTTCCTTAGTAGATGTGTACCATTCCATGGCTAAAAAACACTAGCCTCAAAAATCAAATTAATTGCCCAAGATCCTATAATAGCAAGAGGCTGAGACATGATTCAGCCCTAGAATGTGAGTCCCAGGCCTTATTAACATTCCAGCATTCCATCTCCTGTGGGCCTTCACTTCAGATCACTTGGTTCTGTGAACAGGCTATGAAAATTTGGTGGAGGTCTCAATAAACCATAATGATTCCTGAGGTACTAAGGAGGACTCTGACTTGACTTATAGCCCACTTTCCTCCTAGCCCTCTTTCCAAGCATCCCTTGGAAGGGTAAATAGGCAGAACAGGGGTCAGACATGTAGCTTGCTTCTCTTAGCAGAAGAAAATTACAGTAACATAAAATTGCCTGAGAATATTTCCACTGTGCTATGCATTCATGAGCATTCATTTGGCCACTTTTCAGTTTTTACTGCAGTGTTAACTTGTGGGAAGTAGGAAAGAACATGAGACTCAACCAGCAAAGATGGAAATGGACCGCAGAAACTTCCCAAGCCCTTAGGGATCTAAGGTGGTCATAGTGCTTTGTAATGATTTGAAGAGGATTCTTAGAGTGTCTTAGTTTTCTATTGCTGTGAACATTCTGTATCTGTATCTTGAGATCTATAAAGTTTGTTAGGTATGGTTAAAAACTGTTCAAATTAAAAACTAGTAACCCTGGTAGGGGGAAACCCACAGCTTCACAACTCCCTCTCCTGTATTCTAAGCCCTAAAAGCAATGCCTTTAAAATCCTTATGACTTGAACTTTTATATTTTATTAGGATTTTTAAAATGAATGATTTCAATTCAAATTAAATCATTTGTGAATTTTTGTATATCCAATTGTAACATTTTCTGTGCCTAAATTTGTATAGTGCAATATCTTTGTGATTGGGATTAGAGATAAGATCTTGCATTCTGTAAATCATTTCCATTATTTCTGTTATATTCAGTCTGTTTAATAATGACAATTTGTTGTTACATTTGTATTCTTCCTACATCATAATAGCAGCAGGTAGGCCTCAAAGTGTGTGGATTAGGTTGCCAGTTTCCCCAGTGATAGAAAAATAGACTATCAGGTAGGAAAAGAGAAAATTTGCTGGGTGGTAGTGGTGCATGCCTTTAATCCCAACACTCAGAAGGTAGAGGCAGGTGAGTCTCTGGAAGCTTGATGCCATCTTGGTCTACAGAGAGAGTTCCAGGACTGTTACACAGGGAAACCCTGTCTCAAAAAAGAGGAAGTCTAACGACCTAATTATTCTGTAGTAACAAATAGTGTTTTCTAGCCTGTGCTGAGATAGATAATTATTTATTCCTGGGTGGTTATAACCAAGGTAGAGAATGTTACATTACTGAGTGAACTTTGAGAAGCCAAAGAAAGGAAGAAATTGTTCTTTCATCTCTTGAGTAATTTGTCCAAGTTGTACAAATTTAGGGTCATGTGCAGTCACAGGGGTTAACCTCCATTGGTGTGAGCTAGAGGTGACTTGAACGGAGCACTTCTCTGGTTGGGGAGTCACTGCTTTGTGATGCTAAACTGTAGGTGGGTGGTGATGTTGAGTGGCCTTCCCGCTGCTTGTTCCTGGCAGATGAACGCTCTCCTGCTGCACAGTATGTGGACCTGCTGCTGAACCCAGAGCGGTACACCGGCTACAAGGGCTCCTCGGCATGGAGAGTGTGGAACAGCATCTATGAAGAAAACTGCTTCAAGTAATGGAGGGTCAGAGGGAAGGGAAGATGTCTGTTTCTGTTGGGGAAAGGTGAAGTATAACAAGCCAAACCGTTTCACATGAGCTTTGTGCTCTTTTCCAGGCCTCGATCTGTGTATCGTCCTTTAAATCCTCTGGCACCCAGCCGAGGTGGGTTTTTTGTACATTTTGTCCTTTTTCAAATTGTAGGAATGTTAATCAGCAATTTTATATTTTGCTTAATTTTAGTGATTAACATGAGTTGATAGGCCAGATGTCTTCTGGAGCTCTATGCCAGGTCCTAAAGTAGGAACCTGGTGTAGGATGAATTAGAAGATGTAAGGGATCAGGATGTACCTCATATTTCCTGAGAAATTCAAACTCTGGAGGGCCAGGTCCTGCCCCAAAACAGTAAATTAAGAAGCCAGAGAATAAGGACCCAGTCCTTACGTTTTTATACTCTCCAGTTCAGTGGCTCTTAACCTTCCTAATGCTGCAAACCTTTAATATTCTTCATCAAGTTGTGGTGACCTCCCCCAACCATAAAATTATTTTCATTGCTACTTCATAACTGTAATTTTGCTACTGATATGAATTGGATATAAATATCTGTATGTAGGCTGTCAGATAGTCGGCCCCTGACCCACAGGTTGGGAACCACTGTTGGTAATGTGCAGTCAAAGTGGAGAGTTGGGGGGGTTCATCACAGCTTCTCCACGGTGCACACATGTTACCTGGGAGCCAGGTAAGCACAAAGCACAAGAAGCTGGGCCCCACCAAAGACCTATCTAATGGGTTCTCTGGGGTGCGGACCCATGCACTGTGTTCTCTGCACAGGAAGGGTGACAAGAGTACAGACACTCAGGCTGCCATCCCTCAACACTGCTCCAGTCCCTGCACTGTTCCACAAAGTGGCCAATTATCAGCTGGCCATTATGTGTTTGTATGATAAGTGTGAACCTGAATTTTAGATTTTAACTTTAGTTTACTTGATTGTAAAGCTGGTGGCAGTGTTAGCTGCCTTTGTCATCATATAGAGCCTCCATGTTTGTGCAGAAATCATGGCCCACAGCATGATACTGAGGTTGTAGTGTCAGACACAACCTACTGTAAAAACATAGCTATTTAAGGTACATGTAAGCCTGTGTGCTGTTCAGTTGGTATAGCATGCTGTAGTCAGTCACTTCATCCTCTTATCTAGGAGCAGCTAATCCCTGGGATTGACCCTGTAGCTGACCCATCATTCTAGAGTTTAGGCCAGGACTGAGTTAGAAAGTTGAAATTCCTAAGTAGATTTGTACCTTCTGGCCTGAGGCCCAAATAGATGTGGAGTGGTTGAATATAAGCAATGCTTTTAGATGCTGGCTCTGTCAAGGCAAAGTGCTATTCTCCAAGGTCATTCTGAAACTACCAGTAAAAATTGGAACTGTGAGCTGGGTGGTCATGACTTATTTTTTGTCTGTTTTGCTGTTTTTCCATCATAACTTTTATGTTTTCAGCTTCAGTGTCTTAATTACACAGAATGTTGTAAAAATTGACACTATGGAAGAAGCTGTGTAAAGGACAATGGGACATCCCTCCTTCTGTTTCCTGTTGTAGAGTTAAGGAAGGCATTTCTTCAGACCTTTTCTGTGGTTAATTTGTTTCAAAGTAAAAAAAAAAAAAAAACCAAAAAAAAAAAAAAAAAAAAACAAAAATAACCCACAATTGTTTAACAAAAGATGTTCAATCCAAAGAAACACTTTGTTTCCATTAAACCAGAAACTGCTGCAAAGATGGGGGGGGGAGTGTGAACAATGAGAATAGGGAAGGAGGAGAAGAAAAAACTTGGGAAAGACTGTTAAAGACAACCAAGGCAGTGAGAGTGGTTTAGCTCTTCCCAGCTGCTAAAGGAAGCCTGCATCTCTGTCAGGTGGGCTTGACATGGTGATACAGGGCTCTGCCTGCTCAGCAGTTTCCTCCACTATATTCCTGAAGCACTGTCAGCTCTAGGCTTCTGTAACTATTATTCCCAAAGTGTTTTAGCAACAGAACCTTTTTCTGAAAAATAAACTTTTCCATCAGAAGCTGCCAGGCAAAGGCAACAAAGGTGAGCGGCAGTGTAGCCAACTCAGCCTTTGACTTCTCCCACCCGAGGAAGGTGACTTTGACCCTCTTGTTCAGGCTGCCTGAGAAAAAGATCAATCATCTAGAGAAAGACCCAGTATGGAAACTATCCTGGTGTACTGGGGGGAGAGAAGGGGGCCTGAAGGATATTTGTGTATTTAATAAGCACTGAGCCTAGCTGCCTGTGGCCACTTCAATTGTTTCCTGATCTTTTAATGTGCAAGAGATGGAACACAGGGCTTTGTGCACACTTAACATTTTATCACAGTTACATCCAAAGTTCCCCAGAGTCTCACTGAGTGGCCACCCTAGTCTAGAACTCACCTAGCCCAGGCCTTAAGCTCAGTGAGTGGTCCTGCCTTAGCCTCCCAAGTGTCTAGGATCATGCACCTGTGTCACCAGGCCCAGTTCCTTCTCCCTTCTCAGTTTCTTCCTGTCTAGTTGCTTTCCATGTTTGTTTTGTAGAATGTGAGAATCTTGTCCTCTTTGGCCTGCAGACAAGGCTTTTATTTGCAGGATGTTGCAGTAGTGATCAGGGTTCATGGTACAGTGAACAGTTTAACAGTAAAGATAAATTGTACATTAACATTAGCAGGGCTGGAATCTGTGCAGGGTAGGGCATTTTGTAATGTTTTTCTCTTTTTTTTTTTTTTAGGGGAAGATGATGGTGAGTTGAACTTCAACCATAGAAGAAAACTTTTTACTATTAAATTTGGGTGTTTTTCTTCTTTTCACCAAAAGCAGGTGGCTTGGCCTGGTTTGGTTTGGTTTTTTTGTTTGTTTGTTTTGGGGGGGGTTGGTTTTTGTTTGTTTGTTTTGTTTGATGTTTTGTTTTTAAAAATGAATGGTGATCAAAAATGAGATTTTCAAAGATAACATAAAGTTGTCTTAAAGTTAAAAAAAACATAGAGACCAATTTACCTAAATATTTGGTATAGAAAGTAGGTCCACTTTCCACATTTTCTGTTAACAAAATCTTGAAGGTTGGTGGTAAAGACACTTGCTGCTAAGCTTGATGACTTGAGTTCAATCCCCAGGACTCACACGATAGAAAAAGAGTAGATTTCCTTTAGGTCTCCTGTGACTTCTACACATGAACCCTACCTCCCACCCACATATACAATGAATAATTTTTTTAGTCTACATGAAGATTTTTGAGGAAATGTAACAAAGTTATTTTTATCAGCTAGTTCGTGATTTCTTTTCCTTACTGCCTTTGAAAGTTACATTCTCATTTTTCAAAACAGTGCTTAATCTCATGAAGATTATTTGCTAGCATCTGACTGTGAAACAGCCAGAAAATTATTTCAGTTGCTGTCTCCTTACCTGTGTTCAGTAGCATTATGCAGACTGGGAGGATGTATAAAATGCACACCTTCCCTCTGTGAGCCAAGATGCCCAGAGGAAAGCAAATGCAATGCATAGCAGACACAACATACAGAAACTCTAGACACAGTGCCCCCAGCAGGTGTAACTCAGTAAAGGGTGAAACAAAGCACCTCATGCATGATGAGACATGATGAGAAAAGCTGCCTGGAAGAAGTGGCCTTTAAGATGAATTCTGAATTAAAGGAGTGGGTGTAAATCAGAATTAGCTAGCATAGGCTTGTCGGAGGAGATAGCATGAATGTGAGAGCTGAGCAGTAAATCAGTGAGTGTGTCCCATGTGACTTGTTTGCAGTGGGAAAGACTGAAGTCGTCTAAAGGGATGGGTTAAGAGGCCACATTGTGGCCTCATTTTCCCAGCCAAATGGGAGCTGGCAGTTAAGGTTATTTGAAGAAGTGAGATAGTAATATTCCTTAGCCAGGGTAGATGGGGATGATGGCAGAAAGCTGTCTGTGCTGTCCTGTGGTGAAGTGGGGTGGCATTAGGAGACAGAGGAGCTCCCAAGGTTTATCCCTGAGACTGGGCAGCACCTCAGTGGGCTGGTTTTGTCATTCTCTCAGGAAGTACAGCTGTACTCCCCTTTCTTTCTCTCCCTAACTCAGAAGAGCATCATTGAGCTGGAAAGGGCTCTTTCTTTCTTTTAATAACAAAATTATATACATTTATCAGCAGTGTTTTGAAGCATATGTCATGGGGAGTGGCTAAACAGGATTGGTGCTATATGTATTTATTTACATACTTAGCCTTTTTTGGCAAATACACTTAAAATCTCTCGTCAGTTTATAAGAACACAACAGGTTGTTACTAACACTAGTCAATATGCTATATGTAGACCTCTGGAACTAACTGCTCCTCTGGAACCTAAGTTCTGTGATTTTACAACCTTCACCTCCGTGACAGGGAGATGTCTTAGGTCCTATACAGATGAGTCACAGTCACTCTAAGCAAGAATTGCATTGAAAATTATACTCTTAGATAGTTGAGGAAATATACCTAGCTTTATTGGCTTAAAAATTGAGTAATTATAACTTAATTTCTGTATTTGTAATTGTATTTGTAATTTGGTATAATTAAATAACTCTGCTTGTTAGTTACCTCAGATACATTATTGTTTGTTAAACCTTCAGGGAATAAGATACATTTTAGTATTTATACTGAAATGTTTTATCATATGTTTTAATAATTAAATATTTGTAAGAACATTCTCCAGAGTTATTTAAGTTGTTTATTTGTTTTTCTATGAAGATATGATCATTTTACTATTTAGTCTAAAGGAGTAGACATTCCTAGAGGTAGTCCTCAAGTGACCTGAGTTGTTGTTTATACATGAATATTTAAGAAATTTTAACCAAATTCTTCTTTTTTTTTTTTTTTTTTTTTTTTTTTAAGGAGAATCATTCTATACATGGCTAGAAGGTAAACTTTATTTGTGATTGTTTACACAACTGATACTTAATATTTGAAAGAAAATAACATGGTTTAGTTTGTTATAGTTTGTAGTAAAGTTATGTGAAAATCTTGAGGATATTAGGCAACCAAAAAATCAGTACCAAATGAATACATAGGCTACACAGGTTATTAGGTTTTCCTAACTGGCTTCTCCGTGTAGACCTATGTTATCCACGTTTTACTAGTTAGTAGCATACAAGTATGCTTGTAAAGCAGAGGGGTTTCCCTTAGTAAGAAAGCACTTGTGATATGTAAAACAAGGCAAGGTGAATTAAATGCAGAAGACTGTACATATGTACCCATGTTCATATAGCCTATATTCTTCTAATTAAAATTTAAAGCAATATAGTTTCCATTTCATTCCTCATATTCTTCATATTAGAAATATAAATTGTTATGAATTAAAAGCTCATTGCTCTAGGAGTTTAACAGCTTTGATTAATAACTGGGAGTATGATGCTGTTAAAATTATGTGTTACACTCTGAGTAGTTGATTCTATTAGTTGTTAATTGGCTGTGTCTCTTATGAACATAATTTCTGTTTGTTCTTAGTCACTTACGTATATATTGGTCATTTTAAAGTGAACACGTGTGAATACTGTTATGAGTTGTGTTGGCAAATACCTTTAGCTGAAGATACATAACTTAGTCTACTCTAAAGATTGAGCATTATGTGAAGTAATTAAAATGTCCAACATTTTAACACTGTGACATGATATTGGGGTCTGCATACATATAGGACTGCATTTATAGATATCCTTGGTTGTGTGCTACACATGACCACAAGTTGGATACTCCTGATTGAGAATCAGAGAGATAGACACTTGAATGTTGATAATGAGGGAGGAGAATGGAGTCTCTATTAGTGTTTGACCTTAGGCACTGTGTATCAACTACTCTACTAGTACCCTGCTGCTGGGAGTCCCTGAAAGTGAGTATGTGGTTTCAGAGAGCACTTCTAGTTACAGGAAACCAGCTCAGTCTCTTCTGAGACGTTTTTCCTCACCCAGAGCTAGAGAGTGACAATAGTTGTGCTGCTATCTACACTCTTGGTGGAGATGATACCAGTAAGAATTCCTTGAAAACAGCCAAGAGATATTCAAATGCAGAACAGTTGTCCATGACAGTAGGAAATCTAGCACTCTTGTGAGAAACATGTTTACATATATTCAGTGTCCCCTAAATCAGTCGTTGAAAATTAATTTGAATACCATTAAATCTAGAAGAGATCTCCCTAAATTGGGTCCCTAATTTGCTATGTATTAGTAGAACTACAAGTTTATGGAATTGCTTTTGTAGGATGGCTTTTTGTGTTATTTCAGAGCAAGAGGTAGAAGCTTTTGCCTGCTCTCCACAGGCGTAGACCCACCCACCCATTTGACACCAGGCTAGGACAAAATGTCTCCAGCATCTCCACCCAGTGTTGTCTTACTGGTGCAGTCACTTGACACATCTTTGATATCAGCATTTTGCTTGAGGTCACCCAGTTCACAGAAGCATGTTTCCACTTCAACTTCCTAACTGTACCTGCCCTGTCCCAGCTTACAGGCTCTGTAAACTTTGCAAGTAGAAACTCCTCTTAGTTTTCCAGGACCTGATTTTTAGGCTTGTGAATTTCCATAAACTTTGCTTTACTTACTGTCCTTCTCTAGACATTGGCTATTTTGTGAGACATAAACATCGCCTATACGGGTAGGTTGGAAGGAATAGAAATTGAACCTAAAATTTGACCATTTTTCTTCTTGATTATATATTTGATGAAAAATTTCATGTATATAATATTTTAGTAAATTTCTTCATTTTATTTGTAGCCCTTATTACAAACATTTAAAATTGGCCATATGCTTTTTTGGATAAAGCTACAAAATAAAATTTAATCTCTATGTTTTGGACTTTACAACATTTTGAGTTAAGAGAATGATATCTCAATAGTTTTTCCTATTGAAGGTGTTCACTTCAGAGCCATCTGTGATAAGACATATAGTAAATAATGATCTGAGAACAGTAAGCCACGTAGATGCTCTTATATTAAAGCTCTCCCATCATATAAATGAGATTGTCCACTTTTCCCCAATAGGAAGTGTGTTTAAAAGAAAACAAAACTTGTTGGGTGGTAAACAAAATGCATCTACAGCTGGAGAGATGGTTCAGTCTTTAAAGGCTAGGCTCACAACCAAATTATAAGAAAATGCATCTAACAGATTCTAAAATTTTCTGTTTGGAGGACCTAAGAAATGGTTCTGTGGTTAAGAGTGTTTGTGTTTGTTTGGTTTTTGTTTTTTTCAGAGGACATGAGTTTGGGTCCCAGCACCCACATGACAGCTCACAACCATCTGTAACTCTAGTTCCTCAGTATCCAGTACCCTCTTCTGACTTCCACAGGCACCACACATATATACAGTATACACACATACTTGCAAACAAACATTCATGCATATAAAATAAATCATAATTTACATTTCTTATTGTATATTTTCATTTTTTAATTTCTATAAAGAATATTAATCAAAAATTTCTTTTTATTGTGGCATAATAAATACAGTGTAAAACCATGTTAGCCTTTTAATTTATTTATTTATTTTTGTATTTTAGTGTTGAGTTCAGGGTCATGTGCATGCTAAGCATATTCTCAGCTACTGAGCCTCACTCCAGCCCCATCTTAGCCATTCTTAAGATTAATATTTGGTGGCACTAAGTGCACTTACAGTGTATGTTACTACAAGAGAAAATCTTACAGGCTAGCAGGAGTAGGGTAGGATTATGGGATTATTTGTTATTTGCCATACATTTTGAACAGAAACTTGTGTGTGTTAAAGAAGTTATATGAAGTGACTTTGTATCATGTCCTTGAATTCCCAATGGTGGGACTTATAAATACTCAATAGATCTGTCTCTTCACTCTCCCCTTGCTCCCTGGCTTGTAAAATTTCTGGGAATTTTTTTCTAGGTTTTATCCCCTTGTAAGTAGAGTGATATATCATTAGAATAAGAACATCAGTGGGCAAAAGGCCCTTCTTTCTCTACCACAAAGTAGACTCAAGGAAAGAACAGAGAGAGGGAAGGTGTGGGAAGACATGGCTATTGCTAAAGCAAAGCAATGACTTCATTGTTGTGTTTAGTACATTTTTATTCTAAACTACAGCCTGTGCAACTGATTTCTGGTAGCCTAAGAACTTGGCAGTTGCATCCAGTAGTTGCATCCAGGGGCAGGTCTTTCTGCATAGTGTAGGAACTTCACAACTGCATCCACTGTGTTTGGCCACCTTCAGGCGTCAGGCCTTTCTGTCTTGTTTGTTATGTGTTAAGTTTTAATTATTCTCAGTTAAGTCCATTCTGAAATAAGAATCTACTATTTTCTAGTGAAAATCTCCATCTTATTGTTTGTATGTTATCTCTTGATTTGTTTATAATGCCTGTTACTTTTAGCTGACAGAAACTTTATACATACAGAAAGATTTATGTTGCTCAGGGTTTCAACGGGTCCATTCCATGGCTGCTTGGCCCTGAGCATGTAAAAAGATCATCATGGCAGGGAATGTGTGGCAGAGGACAGCTATACTGCAGACCGGAAGCAGAGAGTGACAAGAAGCAGACATGAATAATATCACCCCTTAGGCCCTGCCCCAACTGCTGTATTTCCTCTAGCTAGGTCCCACCAAAGCAATAAGCATCCCAAGCCTAAGCTTGCAGGGATACTGCATATTCCAGCTATAACAGTGTTCTTAAACAGTAACTTGAAACCCAGGTACTGACTCTTTTTGATTAAATATTCTTTAGCTAATAGGCGTGGGTTCTTTCTCCATGTTTTTCTGAATAGGTTTGTGTCTTGAGAAAAGAGTCTTCTATAAGCTGATATCAGGACTTCATGCCAGCATCAATTTACATCTGTGTGCAAATTATCTTCTGGAAGGTAATCAGATTTCTTAAATGGAGATTGTTTTACTTCTAAGATATTTTAAAATGTGTTGGAAAGTAAAATACATATTCTGCAGAACAAAAGAAAACCCATTTATGCAAAAAATAACCAATATATTTCTTTCTTTACAGAAACATGGGGTAAACCTAGTTGGGGACCTAACATCAAAGAATTTCAGCGCCGCTTTGACCCTGTGGAGACAAAGGGGGAGGGTCCAAGAAGGCTGAAGAATCTGTACTTTTTATACTTGATTGAGCTTCGTGCTTTGTCAAAGGTGGCCCCTTATTTTGAGCGCTCAATTGTTGATCTTTACACTGGCAACTTGGAAGAAGATGCCGACACCAAGACCCTCCTGCTCAGCATCTTTCAGGACACAAAGTAAGACTTGGTTGTCAGTTTCCTGGAATCCTCCAGACATTAGAAAAGAGAGATGCAGAGCTGAGGAACATGGGAACAAAATTACTGAGGTAGTTATATAGATGCTGAGTAAAACGTCTCCCTGAAGCTTGGCTGCAGAAGTATTTGCACTTGAAAATAGGCCGTGTATATTTTAATAAAGAACTGAAGATTTTATGTAGCATCAAAATGCTCTGCTGATTTGGTATTATTTCAGTTACTACTTAAAGTCATATAGAGTCATAGTAAGTATATAAACATTACAGTGAATATACAAGGTATTATTAGCTACCTTCCAGAACATAACCTTTTAAATCATCCTTAGTCTGTAAAACATATCCATTAGGTGCTAAGACAAACATGAAGGAAAAGGTGTATGAGGAAGGAGTACTATTAAAGTATACAAAAATATGGAGTGTTGGCATTGCTTTTCACTGTTAATTTTACTAATCTTAAGATACTGCAGTGTTATAAATTACAAAGTCATATGTATCTTACTGTAGGCATATATCACCTTCCTACATTATAAATAGGAGACTTTAAAATATTTGTAGGGCTACAAAATTCTAGCAGAGCTCTAAGACAGGTACTTAGACTTTTCATTGTTTACTTACGTGTCATTTTTTCAGGTCCTTTCCCATGCACTTTGATGAGAAATCCATGTTTGCAGGTGACAAAAAGGGGGCCAAGTCATTAAAGGTAATGGGGGTATTGTGGGAACCATTTGTTGTATTTTCTTTTATGGGGGGCGGGGGGCAGGAGGCTTTTGGGACAAGGTTTCTCTTTGTAGCTTTGACTGTCCTTGTAGACCAGGCTAGCCTCCAGCTCATAGATATCAGCCTGCCTCTGCCTTCCAAGTCCTGGAATTAAAGGTGTATGCCACCACAGCCTGGCATGTTTTCATCGAATTCATCCAAATTTTTCCAGTTGTCCAACATTTTTATGTTAGTCTGATAAGATTTTGCTATAAATTGAGATCATTGGTTGTTGATTACCTATGTCACAGTGTGGTGTTAAGGGGTGATTTACAACTGGATCTAATCTAGGACCAACTTTCCGACTTACACTTTATATTAGTTACTCTTTCTGCTGCTGTGAGAAAATACCATAACTAAATTTAAGAAGCTATTCAATGTAAGCAACATCCCAGTTCTTACAAGTAAAGGCCTCACACTGGTAACTTTTCAGCCCTTAATTAAGTGCCTTGTCAGTAAATGGGTTGAGTATGCACCATGGATGTTAGTTTCTATTAATGTCTGTTGTTTTAATATAATGTGTTGTGTACAAAGTCAAAAACAACTTAATCATTTGTAAAATTCAAAACTTTGTTTTATATATGTGATTCAACCAGGTGTAGCTTAATATCAAGTCCAATTCCAGTATTTTCTGCCTACCAGGAGGAGTTCCGGTTACATTTCAAGAACATCTCCCGCATCATGGACTGTGTTGGATGTGATAAATGCAGATTATGGGGGAAATTGCAGGTGTGTGTGGTCTTCCCTTTTCAGACTGTTCATAACCCTACATTTTTCTGCTTACTTTAGTTTTATAAAGATTTATTATTTGTACAATGGATTTGTGTTTGGAAACAAGCAGATCCAAGTGTGGCTTTTCTGTATTGTTAATGAAAGATTAATACTACTAAATTGTGCTGGAGGTCCATGTGTCTATTCACTTTAAAAGTTGGTTGTGGATGAAGAATTTTTATATACACAAACTAAAATACATAAGTCCTAAACATCAAATTTTGGACATGGTTTGTTTCAGTCGTGAAAGCCTGTCTAGCACAAAATGCAAAAGTACTGTAGGGCAGACCTTAATCTTCAGTGTACAGAGGAGTACTTGATTTTTTGCATCTTATTTTCTTGCAAAAATGATAAGTACAGATAGTCAAAAGGCAAAATTAATTTTTGTTTATGTGGGTGTTTTTTTTTTTTTCTAACACAGTCTTGCTTTATACTCAAAGCATCATCCAATTTGTGATCTTTCTGCACCTGTTGCGATTATACAGTGCTGGTGAGATAGGATTATTTTAAAGGCAGCTCTGCTGAAATCAAAATTTTGTTTTCCTCTAGTACTGAGAAATAATTTAATGTAGGGTCACCTTGAATAGTCTTAGAACCCTTTGCTAAGGGTTGTAAATGGAGCAACTGTATTTAATGAGTCTGGGGGTGTGGAGCTGAGGTAGAGCAGGCTTTGATCCTCTAGCACTACAAAAAAGTAGTGCTTTCAAGATTACAAGTCATACTGTGGTTCTGATGATGAAAAACAGGCATGTTAGTAAATCTAGAACAGAAACACAGTCAGCAAGCATCAGGTTGCTCAAATTTTCCTGAGCAGTGTGCTATGGTTGTGCATGTGACCTGTGAGAGGGGAAGAAACTACTTCATGCATAGTCCAGTACGTGTTGTAAAGCTCAGTTTATAGGGCTTAGAAAAAGAGATTATTTGTCTTGTTTTTATTTACGTGTACGTGTGTACATGTGTACACTCATGTGCGTGTGCGCACCCACAGAGGCCAGTTAGAGGGTGTTGGATTCTCTGGAGCTGGAATTACAGGTGATTATGAGCCACTGGATGAAGAGCAGCAAGCATTCCTAGCTACTGAGCTATCTTTCCAACTCCCTCTTAAGGTTTTCAGTGTCCTTACTGAGTAGTTCTTCATAGTAGCTATTGTGTAAAGTTAAGTCTAAGTTTATGGATATTTTCTTTAGACTCAGGGTTTAGGAACTGCCTTGAAGATACTATTCTCTGAAAAAGAAATCCAGAAGCTTCCGGAGAACAGTCCATCTAAAGGCTTCCAGCTTACTCGGCAGGAAATAGTTGCTCTTTTAAATGCTTTTGGAAGGTAAGAATTGCACCTACAACTGAGACCTAACTCCCCTGCACATTTCAGTATACTGCAAAGATTGTCTTTTCTCCCAAAGGCAGGCTGGGTGTGATGGCACACACTCATAACCCCAGCCTGAGAAGCTGAAGAAGGCAGATCACGACTTCTTCAAAGCCAACATGGCCTACGTAGTAAATAGCCTATCTCAAAAACAAAAGAAAAAAGAAAAAAAAAAAAAAACAACAACTTCTATTCATTGCTCAGTGTGGCCTCCATGCTGACAGCCAGTTAGTTCTCTATCAGTCCTAGGAAGAACTGATATTTTCCAGTACCAGTATTTTTCAGTTTGATTTCTCAGTTTCATGAGGGAAATAGTCTCCGCTTACTCTCTTCTTTGCCTGCTGTAGTACAGTAATAGACAGAAGGGAAATGTGATGGGGAAGGTAGTTCAAGACATGACACCCTTTCTCTGCTCTACACTGCCTAAGCTGAGGAGTCCTCTCCCATACATTCTTATCCCATTTTTCTGATATATACATATATGATATATATACATATATACATTTATGAGATACATACATATATGAGATATACACACAGATATCAGAAAAGTAGGCACACACACTTTGTTTCTTTTATCAGAAATGGTTTTTAAAAATAATTTGAATTTGCCTACAGAGAAATTTATGCAGTGTTGAGGATTAAAGAGCAGAAGGAAAAGAATCAGAAAATAATATGCTGTGTTGTAACAGTAGGGCAAAGTAAGTCAAATCATGGGAGAAAGTTTATTTTTAAACTGGAACCAAGTGACAGAGATTAATGTGTATGTTTTATGAGTATGATTTTAAGTTCAAAGGAGACTGATCACTTAAAGATAACTTAAATATGTCCCATCTTAATGCCAAGCCTTTGCCTATTTCCTCCACATACTTATTTTTATCTAGGTAGGGTTTTACTCTCATGCAAGCTGACCTGGAATTCAGTGATGCTAGGGTGTGAGCTGCTGTGCCAAGTTCTTCTCTGTATGTCTGTGTTTGTGTTAATTGAGATACAACCTCCAAGTTAGCAGCTGATGGTGTTTTAAGTCTCAGGAAACATTCAACCTATACATTTTTGACATCTAAAGAAAACTAACAGAAGAAACTAGGTGAAATACAAATTATTTGAAATAAAAAAAAGATCTTAAATAACAAACATTTTGAGCTCAAACAAAATTAAATTAAGAAAGGACAAATTAAACTGAACATTTCATCAAAATTTCACTGGCTCTCAGAAATGCCCCCCTTTTAGCTTCAACTCTATCTAGAGCCTATTCTTCCTCTAGGGGGTGCTGGCCAGGAAACAGGGTATGGAGTCTTGAGATCTTGGACTGCTATTTGCTGGCAGTTCAGCTCAGCACCTGCTAGTAGGTGTCTTAGGATTTTTATTGCTGTGAAGAGACACCATGACCACAGCAACTCTTATAAAGGAAAACATTTAATTGAGGGTGGCTTGCTTACAGTTTCAGAGGTTCAGTCTATTATCATGGTGGGGTGCAGGCAGATGTGTTACTGGAGTAATATCCGAGAGTCCTACATCTTATAGGCAGCAGAAGACACTGGGTGGTATCCTGAGCATAGGAAACCTCAAAGCCTACTCCCAAAGTGACACACTTCCTCCAGCAAGGCAATACCCACTCCAACAAAGCCACACCTCCTAATAGTGCCACTCCCTATGAGATTATGGGGCCAGTTACATTCAAACCACCCTACTGGGGATCTTGGAAAAATACTTGTTTTGAGCCTGGTTTTACCTAAAATGTAAAAGCAAAATTCTGGTTATCTTTTGTTGTTGCATTCTTTAATTGAGTAGATATACTTGATGGGTTCAGATCATTGCCTGGAACCTCCTAAGCTCAATAAACAGGAACTCTTCAAGTACTGGAGTAAAGAAAAAGAGTAGTTAAGTAGTGTACACTGTATCACTAGGCTGTGGAAGAGAAATACTGGAATTGTTACATTAACTCTGAATTTTGTACATAAGGAAAAATGAATTTGTAGGTTTTTCATTTCTTACCATCCCAGAGTTTTATTTCTGGTTTGAGCTCTTTATTTATTCATTGAGCTGATAATCACTTACACAATGCCATAAATGGGAATTGGGAGGGACTGTGTAGGAGACAACATATATTTGTGAGCCATTCATAGCACTGTTTCTATCACTCATTTACAGTCTTTTTGTTACTGTCTTGTTTTCAAGACAGGGTTTCTCTCTATAACCCTGGCAGTCCTGTAATTCATATTTTAGACCAGACTGCCTCCAAACTCAGTGATCCATCTGCCTCAGCCTCCTGAGTGCTGGGATTAAAGGTGTGCACCAACCACTCCTGGCTCTCATCAGTGGTCTTGATGGGAAGATGAATTGGCATCTTTTGCCCTTCTAAGCAAGTCCAAAGACCCAAAGCCTTATGATTTGTCACTTTTAATAGGAGTTACAGCATATCTATTTAAAATGGAATTCTTAATGTTCAGTGTTGGATTTTTTTAGATTTTTGTTTCCAGGTTATATAGCTTAAGGGTCCAGTATCAGGTATTTGAAATGTGTGCACATCACATTGGCACTAATATGCACTTGTTTTTCCCCTGTAGGCTTTCTACAAGCATAAGAGAATTGCAGAACTTTAAAGCATTATTGCAGCACAAGAGGTAATGAAGACTTTTCTATGTCTCCGTAGACATAATGGACTGTGTGAAGCCTTTTAGCCTTGGACATTGAGCAGAGAGACTGTCTAAGACTTCAAGAATTTTGAACTCTTAAAGAGAAAATTCAAATGTTCACTTGAATATTTATGATCCTTAATAGAATATGAATTAGAGATATTTATAAATGAAGTATATACTTTAAAATTGTAAATTATACTAACCCCATGTTTGTTTCACATTGGTTTTGTTTGTATTGTATTACCCTTCATTCCTAGTTGTCAAACTTTAAATGACTGTGTCTATCCTGAGAAGACTATTCAGTCTGTTATAGAAAAATAACTAGGGAACCAGTGCTGCCTAGGGCTGGTCTCAGTGACAGAAATTTGTCAATGCTGTAGTTAGTGTTTCAGCTTTGCCTAACACTGTGTGTCATCTTCTGTAATACAGGGCTGTCACTATAATGAATAGGCCTTTCAGTGACTAGTGAGAGAGGTTCTGGATGACTTCCCAGGACTTCAACCATTTTAAGATGTTTAGTTGCTGTTGCTGCTTTGGTTTTGGCCTAAAGGGACCTGCCTTGGTAAAGGTGGGTAAGTGTCCTCCCATGCTCACTTGGCCAGATGTCCTGTGTACAACAGGCTGGCTCAAGAGTGGAGTGTCCTTTACCTAAAGCCTACAACTCCCCTTCTGCTGACTTCTCTCTTTGTTCCTCTCCTAATTATAAACATTTTCAGTTATTTTATGAAAAGCCCTATTTATTTAATGGATTGTTTATTCACAAAATTTGAATGGGATACTGTTGGTTTATAATGCTAGTTGCATTATACACAAATTTCGCTGTTTTAAGGTAAGCATTTTCAATATTTGATTTTGAACACAATCTATGCAATCCTCTACCTCTTTGTGACTCTGTCTGGTGAGATGCTTCAGCAAGAGTGTCACCCCACCCCACCACCCCACCCATCTTCAGTCCATCCAAGATCACTGTCCTTGGTATGACTTAAGACAGTGGAGGACTTGAAAGCCCTAGATTGTCAATTTCTAAATCTGGGATTTAAAGTATTTAAATATTTTAAATCTTGGTTTTCTTTTTGAAGGTGGCATTGGATAATAGGATTACTTGAAAGGTTTTTATCTGTGTGGAAGTTAATGTGAGTCCAAAGTCTCGCTTCTCCTTAGATTCCGTCTTTCTGAAGTAAACAGTAAGTGCTCTTAAACAACCCACATCTTATCTGCCAAAGTCTTAACTGTGTTCCTTGTACTTCATGGTGTGTGCCAGATTATTGAGTTGGCTCATTCCTGTCTCTCAATGCTTCGTCATCTACTATGGAGGTGTGATGGGGGACTGAGGCCTCACTAGTTCATTCTAACCTTTATAAATTTAATGTTTTGTTGATGGTGGTGAATTTTGAAGGTTGATTAATATTTTAGGCAAGGTTTCACTTTTTCTTTGCTTTTTATTGTGAAAGAGTTGCAAGTGTTACCATGTGATGGGAGTGGACCACTGTAAGACAAAAAGTCTGCAAAGTGAATGCAGTGACCTTGCTAGTGCATCCGTAAGAAGTATTCTGTAGTGTCCCTTTAGATTGTAAGGAAATGTGACAGTTTTGCACTTTGTCTATTTTTATTTTAAATGCAGAGGCCATTTTGGTAATGTCACTTACCATTACTGCAGTTAGATGCTATTGTTTTTAAGCTATTCGCTTAAGGAAAAAAAAAAAATCTTCATTTCCACTTGCTGACTTTTTAACTGTGATTTGTTTCAAGCTTAGGACACAAAGTAGTATTAGAACATTCTAAGACTACTAATAGAATTGAATTCTGGGGAATTGAAAAGATATGGTTAAGTTAGAATGTACTCATGGTTTTTCTGGATTTTCTCAGTAAGGGAAATATATGAAGTTGATATTCATTGGATAACTTTTACATACATTAGGATTGTGTGCATGGCTAACATTTCTATGATATCTGAGGACTGTAGAGACTGTAGGCTGTTTGCTGACCCTGGTGATGAGTACGTTAGGAGGCTGACTGCCAGTTCTGTTACCAGTGCTGGAGGGAAATGTGAGCATTACTTACACAGTTCAAGTGCTTGACAGCTGAGCAACAAGATGCTCATCACCTACTGTGCAAACCTAGCACCTGACAGCAAAACTGACGAAATGATTATATCTGATGATATAATCAACACGAAGAAGAGGAAGTATTTTCCTTTGGTGGCCTACATTTGTTTTCCTTTAATGGCCTACATTTGTTTTCCTTTAATGGCATCTGTGTGAGACAGATTATACATAAAAAAAAAAAAAATGGTCAATGTTCAGTATTCCTCCTGTTTTGATTATGTGGAGCCAAAACAAGAAGACCTCAGTTTTGAAACTTGACAAGTCAAATGTTGGGCCCCTGTATCGTGTGTATGAAATGCTGTGCCGTATTTTTTGACTCTGCCTAGGTGCCACTGTATAAAAGGAAAGACAACTGTGCTGTTCTTCTCAGCATTGCCTTCAGATGGACATCTGGAAACAGTTCACAGTAGGCCTCTCAGCAGTTTACAGACTGAAGTTCCCGCAGAAGCCATAGCTAGTCACCAAAAGGCTCAGACCCAGGTACACAGTGTCATGGAAATTCTTTAGTACAAGCCAAGCACAGAAATCCACATGTCCTTTATTTGAAATGACATCTACAGGTGCAGCTTTGAGTTTTCTGAGCAGAATTCCAAATAATTCACTGTTGTACCCACCAGAATCTAGACCATGAATTAAAATACATGTTTCTGCAATCTTTGGTTGCTTTGGGTTTTTTTTTTTTTTTCAAGGAAATGTGATTATAACTTATGAATCAGGGAGAAAATATGTGTCTGTATAGTCTGAGGGGGACTCTTCTTATAGTCACAATGGCGGGTGCTGGCAGCCTATGCTGAGGGTTCCACATGTACCAGCTCCTCACCAGCACACTAGGTGGTAAGTATAGTTGTTTGCTAAGGCATGAAAAACAGATGAGTTCTGCATCTCAGCCCTAGTCACCGCTCACAATGGTGGACCCTGAAAGTGCCCCCAGAATGCATAGCTAAAGAGCCTTTCCTGATAATGTGAGCCATTTGTGTTACCATTCAAGCAAAATGAAGGAACTTTGATTTGTATTGAGCCATAGGCTTTTTTAAAAAGCTTGTTTTATTTAACTTTCGGAATAGGTGGTACATTCATATGGTTAAAAAACATATTTTATACCAAAAGTACAATGTTTTCTCAGCTTTCCACAGTGCACACACATGCCCTCTTCCCTTGGCTTTTTATATTCCCATCCATTCCTCTTTTTAAAAATGCCAACATATACAAATATAGATCCTTATTTCTTTCTATCTTTTCTTAGAGTGACATCACATACACACTATCTGCTTTTTATCACTGAATATTTCAATGGCCACATAGCACCAGATAGCTTTTTCACTTTAGTGGTTGCTTGGAACCCTTACTATGGGCTGTGCCATTTAGTTGAGCAGTGCCGTTTTGGGGCATTTGAGTTGATTCTGGACCTTGTCCACATGTCATGTCCCACTGTATACGTGCATCTGCCCTCCACAGAGGCTAGTTCAGGTCACCACCAACAGTTTGACCATGATTGCTCACCAACATCATCACCATCAGAGATGGTATTCAAATTTTAAAATTGAACAGTAATCCACTGATATTTTTTTTTCTGAAGTATTGATGGCTTTGCTTTTTCATTTTTAAATTCTTATTCTTTGGAATGGATCCTAGTACAAAATACAGGTTAAGAAATCAACCTTATTTTCCTTTATTACCCAGAGGGTAATCTGGTTGAACAGCCCATCTTTTCCATGACTAGTTAGAGGCTATGTGTAGGTAAGACAGATCTTTTGATATCTTTATGGACTTAGCTCTTTTACCTAGGTTCTGTTCCATTTCATCAGCCCATTTTCTATATGTATCAGTAGACATTGTTTTAATTAAGTAACATTTAATATTAGTTCTCAGTCCTCTCATGGTGATGCAATATTATAAAATTATACATTCTTAGAGACTGGACTAGAACTTTTGGTGGACCTCATGACCAGAGTCAGTATACTCTCAGGCACTTATGACTTAAGACAGCTATCCTACTGTGTACTTGGCTGTTGGTTTAACCTGCCTTTAACTTGCCCTTGGAATTCCTAATATACAGCTATAATCTTAAGATTTATACTCCTCCGTGTCCTTGAGCCAGAGTAATGCATGTGTATTGTATCATTTGCTGAAAACAGCAAATACAGAAGTTGAAAGCAGTCTTCTAAAATGAATGTCCACCATAAATGTTGAACACAACATTTGAATATTGCTTGATAACAGTATTTCAAACACTATTGTTTATATGGGTCAGTTGGGGTTAATTGGAGTGTGTGACTGAGCCCTTGTAGAACTCCATTAAAGATTTGTTAAGTGTCTCTCATTCCTTCCCCATGTGATGCCTTCAGTGATGCTCAATAAAGAGCAAAGCCATTTTTTGTAAGAGATGAACACACAGGGATAGATTTACAAGACAGCTTTCAGGCAGGCATAGATTTAGACTGATAGAACCGACTCATGGGATGGATGAGGACAGAAGACACAGGGAGGATGAAACAGATAATTCAAATCTGGGCTCACTCTTGGTTAAATGACACTGATGGGAGTGTTTTGATCTTTTCTTAAGGCGAAGCCCACACATTATTTGTGATTTAGAATTTATTATTAATGTGTCCAATTGACCATACCCTCTCATTGCTTTTGATTTGTTTTTCCTAGAATCTGTTTGATTCCATGTGAGCTTTGAAAAAAATCCTTATAGTGTAACAATGCTATTATACTGTTTAGTTTGTGGGGGGGCAGTCTCTTTCCCTTGACTACTTTCAGGTTCTCGTGTGTCTCAGGTTGGCCTCAAACTCCCACTTATAAAAATCTTCATCTCCAGCTTCCAAGTGCTGGGATCACAGGTGTAAACAATCATGCCCATTTTACGCTGTGCTGGGGATTGGACCCCGCACTTCCTACATGTGCACAAGCCCTCTGCCTAAGGTTACATCCTTAGATATGAAGGTACTTTCAACCTCTTGATGTCTTTATTCTTCTAACTCAGTCTCACATGGGAAAGAGCGCCTGGGGTAATTCTGTGTATACTCTCACTAAATGGAGCAGTTCATAGAGCTGTGACACAGCACCCATGAAGTCACAGTTCACGTTGTAAGACAAAGTCCCAAGAATGATTTGGGGCTTACCTTCATAGATTAAAAACAAATAACTCCCTCATCCACTTATTTGTTCAAAAATTGAATATCTGTTAAAGACTCATAAGTGGGGGAGCCCTTCAGTGAGTGCTAAACTTGGTAAAAGTGCAAGTGCAAGTTAAGGGCAGCTATGAAAAGAATGGGATTTGACTCTGCTAGGGTCTGGGGATATAGCAATGAGTGAAACAAACACTCCTGCTCAGCCTTACATAGCCCAACCAGATTCCATTCCATTTATAGTAAGACTGCACCTGAAGGAAATACCACTGAGGCCATGTGCCACCTAAAAATGTTGCCAGCAGTACAGGTTGCCTCCTGGTGCTGCCAGCATACTGACTCGGGAAAAGCCATCTGACAGCTACCAGTCAGGGTCTCACCAAGCCTTCTTCTGACCATCCTGCCTAGGATGTACCTGCAGACAGTTGGGCAAAGCCTTTGACAGGCCCTTGCCCTGTAGACTTGAAGCCTGGACGGGGCTGTTGAGTTTATTT